TTAATGTAAAATATAATCACTTTCGAAATATACTGAACGCAAGAACTTAATTGAATTATTTTCTGTCCATTTACTCATGTCTTGAATTATTGTTCATTAAAACACAGATAACATTATTTTTCTACATTTATGTCAGAATCTATTAATAATAATAATCCGTTATTAACATTAATAAGATATAAGAAATGTATGTAAAAATTATGCTAATGTAAGAAAGTTTTATATTCATTATATGTAGAATTAGAAAATAACAAAAAGTGATCATTCACTTTTTTAAACAATAAATTAATGAATGATTGCTATAAGTTATAACATTATCTCTTTTTCATGTGTTAGACAAATATAAATTAATTCTTAGAAATTATATACAATTAACTGAATCTAAAACATAAATAAAACTTAATTTCTAAGAATATATCAACATTTCATTCAATTCAGTGTACAATATGTTCAGAAATATTATTTCAAAAACAAAACGCGAATTAACTTATTCTTTGATTGTTTAAAATTGTTTACAGTATTATTATATTTGTATGAATTCAAGGGTGGCGGGGGTGGAGGGGGCGAAAGGGGTGGCATTACATTTCCATACGAATAGCTAATGTTATAAATATGTTGAGGTGAGGGGTATATCTCTTGTTTGGTTTCATTCTGTATGAAACCATGTGTTAAAATTGAATGCATTTTTGCAGTTCAGTACATGTTTTGCTTATAGAGTAACACAAGAATAATATAATACATTATATATTTTACTCTATTCACAAATGAATGATAGCGACAATACAGCCCATTATTATAGTGTACTGTATAATAGTATTTGAAATCGTGAACTTAATGCTAATTCCTCGTCCATAAAACAAAAATCCAAGTAATTTCTATAATAAAAGCATAGTTTTTATGTTTAAATAAGTTTTAAAGTTTAATTTGTTTTGTCGGACACTTTGAAAATATATTCAATTGATTTTTCTACTGGTTTTTTGTTTTTGATTTTTGCAACGATTTTCACGTAATAGAGTATTATATAAATCTATAACAAAAAACAAAAAAGAGTGAAAAGAGATAATGGCTTTGCATTGAAGGGATTCAAAAGTCACATACAAAATACAAAACACTTTTTTCGTTCAATTATTCGCTCGCCTTTTGCATCGAGTTTATGGTTTTTATGGTTTTTTTCTGTAGGATTTTTTATCCTCCAAAACAAAACTCTATAATCATTGAAAGTTTTGTTTGAAATGAGAAATAATGTTGAGGTGAGAGAGGAATCGCTTCCGTATTTGAGTGATCGGTAGAGTAAACTTGAAAACCACCCAAAATTAACAGCTCAGCCCTTCGTATGGCCTTTCGCTTCCCTAATTATCACCAAAAATCTGTCAATTATTTGCCAGAAATAATAATTTGAGTGCAATTTACTGACACTTTATTAATGGATTTCAAATTTGGAAATTAAAAAATGCGTCGATTTGTAAATTTTAATTTTTAAGCGAAGAGATTCAGCAATGCGTTCATAATACAGAAATATTGACTAATCTTACGTTTAGTGTATAAACGTTTAGAAATTTGATAATAAACAACATTATCATTAATATTAATGTCATTTGACTCGAGGTATTGAATCGTTAATTTGATAAATTAATTAAATGTCATCTTATATTTCATTTATTGTCAAAATGATATACTATTTAATAATCAAAACTTTATACCTCTTAATTCAATGATGGAAATAATTTATGAAAATATATAAAATGAGAATCATTTCATTAGAAATCCTAATAATAAATCACAACAAAGTTATTATAAGTTAATGTGTGCTCAACAATATTAAACACACATTACATTTATTTAATTAATAATTATCGATAAAATAAATAAGAAACTAATTACTCCTAAAAATAAGTAAATAATAGTCAATATTAATGTTAACAATTGTATACAAAACCAATAAATAATATTTTTATGTAAAACATTTCATTTAAATTAATTGTAAAATTAGTTATTTAAAAACATTCATAAAAGACTTGTTAACCCGATTTATGTCTCTCTCGGCGTGTAATAAACGTATAGATTATTCAATTTAGCGATTCCTTCGGCCATTATATTAACATTTTTAAAACTCTTGAGTGAAGTAATTCTGGTTTCCTTTAGAGACAATTCAAACAATTCTTTAGGTTTATGTTTCGCTCTATTGATGAATGAATGAATCACTCGTTTGGAGACATTATTACATAAATCGAGGTTTAAATATCTTAATGAATGCAATGAATGGATGACATGACAGATATCATCGTTAATATTAGTGCCGTAAAGACTAAGACGTTTCAAATGTTTCCAATCCATCAATACATGCAAAGCATCGGAATTGAGTTTTTCAACGGAAACCAAATCAAACGAAATGCTCTCCAATTGAGGCCAATGTCTGCAAATGGTTTGCAATGAGTTGAGCGAAAAGCAGCCGAAATTGAGTTCAATTGATCGCATTTGTGTGCAATGAATGGCTAAATGGGCGAAGTCTTCGTCCAAATGAGTAAACGGCAAATCCATAGCCAAGTGATTGAGTTGAGCCAAACCGGCGATCGGACGGTAACTTCTCTTAGGTATTCCCTCAACATTTGTGGACAGAAATTGAGTTAAATTTACGAAATGAGTGCCAATACTGTCGATAACCAATTGACTCAACGAATCAAATGTTTTCAATTTTAATCGTTTGATGTTTGAAACGTTTTTGGGGTCAATGGATGTGAAGAGACATTTGGCTGAAGTGCACGAAATGTGTATTTCTTCGACCGTTTGTGAGATACAGTCAAACCATTTGAGCTCAAGATTGGGCTCCCATTCGGTCACTTTCAGACACTTGAGTCGATCGCAACTTCTTATAAACTTCTCGACAATCGGTGTCTGATTTTTTTCGATACTATTTCTGATCACTAAATGAATCAATCGATGGCCTAATCGTCGCGACAATGACTGCCAAACCGTGTCTGTAATCACCATTGAGTTGAGGTTAAGACACTCCAGTTGTGGACAATAGTCGGCAATGAGTTGAACCAAACTATCGGTCAAATGAATTGACCGCAAGTCTAAAGACAACAGTTTCGGACATTTGCTGAAAACGGAGCGCAAATTGCGGACGCATTGGATGTGATTGCGTTGGACAGCGTTGCGGAGGTCGTCGCCCGCCTCCTGAGTGTCATCACCGGTGGGCCACTCGAAGACCGCCCAATCGATGAGGTCTTCGTTGACCACCGAATGGCTGGCATTCAGAGAGCAATCGCTTCTGTCGTACGTAATGTTCTTCATTCCCATCGATGTCTGTGTCCTCAACACTGAGACAATCAGTCGATGCCATCGTTCGCAGACACGAAGGCATCGGAATCTGTCCACTAGTGATAGTCGGCCGAAGATGTGTCGCAAACAGTCGTCGTTCAGCGCATCCAACGAATGCCCGAAGACATGGATGTCATCGTTGGTCCGCTCGTCACTTGTTTTCGGTTTGACGTGTCTTTTGCCGCACTTCTTGGTTGTCTTCTTGGGATCAGATGCTGTGATTTGTGTGTCGTTTGGATGCGAATCATGTCTTTGTCTTCGTTTGACTCGTGAGGCGATTGAATGCGAACTCATTTGTTGTCTCCGGAGTTGTATTGACTCAACGTTTGTGTTATTCATCGATAGAAGGCTTTACTCTCTCACAGAGTCTCAAACTTTTGCCAAATATTTTGCGTTAATTTAATCGTAAAAATACTAAATCTTTGTTCAAACATAACTTATAATTAGTATTATTTATACTTTATTTATATTTAAAGTTACAATTAATACAATTTATTAAACACATAACAACACATCAACTCTCTCTCTCTCTCATCACTCGGAAGACTTGGCTCCTGAGGGCCAACACTTGCCTAATGGCCGGAACTTTGTGTCCTTCGACCACAAACACGACATCACTGACTGACTCATTGAGAAAGTACTGTACTTCAGTATAGGGAAGAAAATACAATATATATGACAAACAAATGTTACTATATTTTGATGGATTGTAAACATAACGCAAAATTTCAATTAATTAAAGTGAAGTAATTTGTTTGATAAGACTTTTGCAAAGACTTTTTTGCATAATAAGTGCAATAAAACTACAAATGACTTTTACAGTACATGTAACTTATGTTTATATTTTATTTTCGTGTAGTTTTCATGTTTTATTCATGTCATACATGATAGATAGATCACTCTATGAGCTCTACAGATGGATAGATCAAATAGATATAATATTCTGTAACGAATATGTGTAAAAAAGTACATTTGATATATTTTATGTCAAGCATTATTTAATATTTTTATACTTATTACTAATATACAATATTTAATACAGTATAGTATTTAGTTATATAAAATTATTAGCTCTATTGTTACAACTGTAAATTAATATACTATTGGCCATAACTATCATTATTTTAATAGCTAATAGTTAATTACATTATAATAAAATTTTATAATAAGAATTTAGTAAAGAATGGATTATAAATTATTCTTAGTTGTCCCATATATCGTTGTTTTTCGTAAAAACCAATGTTAAAAGAGCAGGGTACTAAAAATGATAAATTTCCATGTAAAACATTGCATTTTAGGATAACAATTAATTTTTATAATTAAATTATTTTATTAATAGCAATCTAATGAGTTACTCTACCGTCTAACCAACTTTACCATGGTTAACTTTTACATTATGTTAAATATATTCGTTTCCTCGTTTGCTTTACATTAATATAAGCAAATGATTTCGTCAAATAAAATTATATAAAGTTTACGTTACTTTATTGGTTGACTTTATTTAATTATTAAATTTTAATATAAGACATTATAAAAAACATATTGATTTAAACATGTTTACGAAAAAGTTAATTTAAATTATATAATAAATAAAAGTATTGCCGAAATAACATAAAATGTCACAACTTGAACCTGTTAATATTACAGTAATAAGTTATATTATTTTATCAACAATAGTGGCCTTGTTGATTTACTATGTTGGTGTATTCTACGCCAAACTGGGCAATTACCCACCCGGTCCAACTCCATTGCCTTTGATAGGCAATATATTATGTAATGCATAGCTAATAAAAAACCATTTTTAATTAATTAAAAATCTATTTAAAGTACTTCGCAACTTTCAAAAACACTTGAGTGAGGAGACTAGTAAACTAAGCAAAGTGTATGGCCCGGTGTTTACCCTATGGATCGGTCCCTTACCATTCGTGTTTATATGCGACCTCGATATGGGTCGGGAAGTGTATAATAAACCACATTTCAATGGACGTCCGAAAACACACTATAGTTTGTTACATACAATAATGAATTATTATATAATGTTTTAATTAAAATTAATTCATTAAACATTTAGAAAAGCTGTTTAGCAGCGGCCCAAACGAACAGAGTATTGTTAACGCTGATTATGGACCATGCTGGCTTAGTGGCCGCAAAATTGCCATGTCAGTCATAAGGTCTGTTTAAACTTATTGTGTTCAATGTTTAATTTATTCAACAGGGTACTATAATTTCTGTATTTTAATTTATCCATTATACAGTAAATACGCCAAAACTAGTGAATTGTCGCAATTAGTGGCCAACAGAACGGCTGATATGTTACGGCTTATAGTGGAAGAACAGGGTATCAATAAACCATTTAAACCAAATGAATACTCGTATAATCTGTTCGCCAATATTGTTGTCTCAATATTGTTAAGCATTGAGTATTAAAAATATTTTCAATTTATAAATGTACAATGATACAATATTATTATTGTTTGTACTTATTTTATTTATTCTGAATAAGGCTTAACATGCATCAAGATGAATTTAAAGCATTAAAGTATATGACAACCGATCATTTTACTGAATTGGGCGCTACCGGTTTTGTTTACGATTTTGTACCCCTAATGCGATATTTTATGCGCAACCCGTTTGCTAAATTTACCAGGGCATTTTATTTCTTTACAAATTATGTACAAAATATATACCAAACACACGATAAAACCTATACTAAAGGCATTGCGAGAGACTTTTGCGATATAATGATTGCCGCAAAACACGAGGCCATAGAGGAGGACAAACGGGTGGCAAAGTTTTTAAATGATGATAACTTGTCCCGAATTCTCGTTGATTTAAGTTTAGGTAAGTTTTAAGCGTATGAAAACTTAAGTGGTCACACACAAAAATGTTATTTTAACAATTAAACTTATATTACTGTATACATCATTAAGTTTAAATAATTACTCGTTTAATTACTACTTACAATTAAGTAAACAATATTGATATTAACTATATAACTTGATAATTTTATTAGCTGCTTCAGAAACAACTACCACAACATTATTATGGACAATTTTATATATGGCTTATTATCCGAAACTACAAACAAGGTTGCGCAATGAAATTAGAAATGTGCTAGGTGATGCTATACCTGGTGTAAATGATAAAGCTCGTTTGTCATACGTGATGACATTTATTTTGGAAATATTACGTGTGAGAAATCCCTTCCCGATCGGTGTCCCGCACACCACCACTAAGGCTGCAAAACTTGGTATGACTTCTAATTATAATTACATATTATATAAACATGACGTTTAATTAATTGAAGTTGATGATACAAATGTAAAGTAAAGTTATACAGTATTGTACAATATTATATAGTATTGTATAAAATTGTCTAGTATTTTATTAATTATTATATAACTGTATAAGTTATTTACATTTAGGCAGCTATAACATACCGACAGAAACAATATTAATGTTGCATCAGGGACATATTATGAACGATCCAGATCATTGGACCAAACCTGATTTGTTTAACCCAGACCGATTTTTAGACGCAAACGGCTGTGTGGATCTAGTTAAACCAAATGCTTATATTCCGTTTGCAATTGGCAAACGTATTTGCCCTGGTGAATCAATGGCAATAAATGATCTATTTTATACCATAGTCAGATTGTTGCAATTAACTAACGATTATACAATTGACTTACATTGTGAAACTGAACGCTCATTGGCAATGCTTGAACCTGATCCAAATGTACTATGGCTTCAGTGCCCCAAACCATATAAAATTTTATTAAATAAAAAGTAAAATTAATTAATAAACTGTTTATTATAACAACAATTGCGATTTGCTTGTTATTTGATTCATTTCATAATTAAATGTTACAATTATTTGTTGGCTATTGTATGGACTTATAAACTATAACAATAATTAGTATGTGATTAAATACAACATAATTATCATTGAATTAATTAAAAAAGTAAAACATTAATTCAAATAACTTAACAAACGTTTCAAAAGACAATTTTGTAATTTTATTAATTCATTGAAAGCAAACAAAAATGAATTGAAAATTGAGGCAACAATTGGGGGAAAGTCTTGGAGGAATGAGTTGTGAGCTAACCATCATTGAATGCATTGTTTTGCTGATTCAAGTGATTTTGCAGCCATTGGTGACCCAAATAACCGCCCAAATGCTGAGTTGGACTTCGTTTCGCTCGAAGACGTCTTCTCTGAGTTCTGACCAGAATCTCAAACAACGTGTTGTTTGTGATGGCATTCAAGTGATTGAGCTCTTCCTGATGTGCGGCCAATATCTTTCTCATATTCCATTCCATCCAACGCTTGATCCGATCCATCAGTTCTTTCATCTCAAACATGAAAGCGATTCTCGAGATCTCCGGCAGATTCGCGACCGTCAGCTTCATTTTGATGACGTGTTGTTTCACTTCTTTGATCATTGCGTCCAATTGGTAGCGATCGGCCAATCGGTACACATCGGCGATCACTTCCATGTCTTCGTTGTCCGCGAACTCCAGTTTGTTTGAGTACAAGAAGAGGATCATTGTCTTGAATGCCTCGACTGTGGTGTCTTTGATTACAATCTCCTTGTCGTTGGCCTCATTGAATTGGCCGCAAAGCATCACTCGGAAGACTTGGCTCCTGAGGGCCAACACTTGCCTAATGGCCGGAACTCTGTGTCCTTCGACCACAAACACGACATCACTGACTGACTCATTGAGAAAGTACTGTACTTCAGGACAATTCATGTTTTCCCCCAATTCTGGTCTCTGCGGTGGCGACGCCTCTGATTGTTGATCTTTGGATCCGTTTCCAGACATGATTTAACGGTTTGACTAAATTGTTTGAAGTATTTTATTTGAATAAATGAATTGTAATTTATTTATTGTAATTCTCATGCATTTAATTGATATTAAAATAATTGTTTTATTGTTTAAAGTATTATTAAATTATTCACGATTTTAACAATTGGCTAATCTTTACAATTGGATAATTCATTATAAAACTGTACACAATCAGTGTTTGACCATGGTCAATTGATGAGAGAGAGAGAGAGAGAGAGTCGTTCAGCGCATCCAACGAATGCCCGAAGACATGGATGTCATCGTTGGTCCGCTCGTCACTTGTTTTCGGTTTGACGTGTCTTTT